CCTCATGGCTTGTCTGCCCTCCAGAGTGTGGGAGCAGTGATGCTGAATGCCCGACCGCCAAACCTGGGGCGGGAAGTGCGAGGGACCTGAAGCAGGCTGGTGTCTGCCGAGCGGAGGGAACGGACAGGCTGATATGCGGTTAAGATGTTGGAGAGGTAGGGGGTAGCAAGAGTGTGGAGGGCTTTAAAGGTGAGAACAAGAGTTTTGTACTTGATTCTTTGAGGGATGTGGAGCCAGTGAAGCTGGGCAAGAACCAGAGTGATTGGTTCACAGAGCCTGGTGCGGGAAAGGACACAAGCTGAGTTTTGAATAATCTGCAGCTTGTAGAGGGAAGAGTTGGGAAGTCCTAAATCTAGTTTAGGATCCGGTCTTCCAAGACCACCATAGAGGGTTCACTTGATTCCAACATTGAAGTTTACCAATGCTTCACACCGGCAAACTGCGCGGTTACCATTATTATTTACCTCCGTAAACATTGTTGCTAAGATGCTCAAACACAAGAATGTTAGACTCTAGGTCAAGTCATTGTAGTGGAATGCAAGGCATCTCATTGCACACAGAGAGACTGAATCTTTTAGGAGGCACCAGCCTCCTTTGAAAAATTGGTTAATAGGTAAAAAGGTGCTGGTACATCTCTTGGAATAGAGTTGTGGACACACCCTGCCCTTCCTTCACCTCATCAGTTAGGGATTTATGAGTTAGACGTTTTTTATCAAGGCTTCCTTCCTTTCTCACTACTCCATTTCAAATACATCTCATGGTTCAGTGATTCTGTTTTCAAGCTGTCTTTGCACCACTTTGGTTGAAGCTGAATTGTCTGAAACTCGCTTATGTTAATGGTTAAATACTGAACAAGTGTTCTGAGTTTAAGTGCTGGTATATTTTACTTGCTGTGATGCCTGTCGGACATTAAGTCCTGGATGAGGGCAAATTTCCTACAGTTGAATGTGAACAAGATTGAGATCCTCCGATTGGCTCGCGCCAGCGCCTCAGCACCTCAGGCTCTGGCAACATCAACCTCCATGGTTGCACACTACAACTCACCAAACCGTCAGGACCCGAGGTGTCTTGTTCAATCCTCAACTGTCTTTTCTGCCCCACATCTAAGCCATGATCCGCTCTGCCTTCCCTCACCTCCGTAACATCGCCCGACTCCGCCACTACCTCACCCCTCAGGCCGCTGAAACTCTTGTTCCTGCCTTCATCATCTCCAGGCTCGACAATGCGAATGCCCTGCTTGTCAGCCTTCCCAACTCCTCCCTCCACAGGCTGCAGATAATCCAGAACTCTGCAGCCCGTGTCCTCTCCTGCACCAAACTCCGTGACCCCATCTCCCCCACTCTCGCCCGACTCCATTGGCTCCCTATCCTTCAGAGGATCCAGTTCAAGATCCTGGTCCTCACATACAAAGCCCTCCATGGCCTCGCCCCACCCTACCTCTGCGACCTCCTAACCCCTACCAACCCGCCCGTTCCCTCCGCTCAGCCGGCTCCGGCCTGCTCCACGTCCCCCGACCCACCCGCCCCACCATTGGCGGGAGAGCCTTCAGCCACTCTGCCCCCAACTCTGGAATTCCATCCCCCACTCACTCCGCCTTTGCCCCCTCCTTAGCCTCCTTCAAGTCCCTCCTCAAGACCCTCCTCTTCGACCATGCCATCGGCCACCCCCTTCCCCTCCCCTCCCTTACCCCCCCAAACCCAGCTCGGGTCTGAAATGCTGTACTCTGTCCAGCGCCTTGGGACATCCTCCCGACATGAAAGGTGCTATACAAATATAATCTTGTTGTTGTTGTTAACTTGTTGCTGTTACAAAACGTCTATTTTGTTTTTATTTAAAGTTTCATATGAATGCTGAAGTTTTATCGAGAAGTAATTTGTGGTTGATTAACTCAAAATGGCACACCCAGTATAGAGAATAATGGATTACAACAACAACAACTTGGATTTATATAATAGTTGCCCTTTGTATCCAAAGATTGCCATTCACAAAATGTGAATAACTGGGTGCGTGAATCTGTTTATAGTTTAAAAGCTGCTGCCTGCACTAACCACTACACTCTTCCAAGTATTTATATATAGAGCTCTTCACATAGGATAACGTTTCAGAGCGTTTTACAAAGATGGGGTCAGAAGTTGAGCGTCCGGGGGGAAAGAGATAACAAAAGGCACAATCAATGAGGTCGGTTTTAAAGCCGGGCTCGAAGGCAAAATAACAACAATAATAATCCTTGCATTTGATATAGCAGTTTTCACGTCTTCTAGATGTCTAAATAGAGAGGAGTGAGGGTGAGATAGAAAGATTGAGGGAGGGAAGGAGTTCCAGAAGTTAGGGGTGTAGATTCTGAAAGCTCGGCTACTGATAGCGGTAGTTGTGTATTATTAGAGAGAGTAATTCACATGTTGTTAAAAACTGGAAGGGCTAAGCTTATCTGAGATAAGATGTTTTGAGATACAATTGAAGCATTTCGGTAACTGCCGTATGTGCACTCTGGTGTTCATGGGAGTATCTTTATTATGATTATTGTTGTTATGATGGGATTTGTGCTTTTGTTGCCAACAGATGACACAGAGACATCAACGTTCACTGTGATCTGGATATGATGTGTACTATGAAGGCTACAAAGCAAGGATAACAATCATCATAATTCCCATTATAGGTTTAATGAGTAACAAAATAATAAATAATGAATAATAATCCTTGCAGTTGGCGTTTTTTCACTTAAGGGGCTCTCAAAAGCGTTTCGCATGACTTGACTGTGAAGTGTGAGTGACGGTGGTCTTTTTGTTGGCAAAGCCCAGGGATTGACGACTGGGGGGGGAGTGATAGGATGATGTGGAGTAATGCATTTGGCATTAATATGACAAACTTAAAACAAGTATTAAATTCAAATGAGGTCCTGCTCCTCGGGCCAATAAAATAAGTGACACAAATAGTAAAACAGGAAGCCCAGTTCCACACATACACACATGACACACACATATGACACACACACACACACATATGACACACACATGCATGATCTCTACAAGGACAGTTGTATGAAAGCTGAGCAAACCCAACGATGCAGAGCGGCCGCAAACACTCCGTGCGTTCAGTAATTTAAATAACCTGTCGGGAGGGTGTGAGCCGGAGCTCAGGCAAACCGAGAAGCTGCGGCTCAGCCACACACCGCACACAGAGTCCGCGCCACATCGCCGCCCCCACCGCCCCGCGGATACCCCGCAGATACCCCGCGGATACCCCGCAGCCCCGTCTGCTCTCAGCGAAGCAATTCCCGGGACATGATCGCCCACCTCGGTTGGCTTCCGTGGGACCGCACCGCTGCAGGAGCCGAGGGTGCGGGAGGCGGTGCCGGTGTCGGTGCCGGTGTCGGGGCTCTGCTCCACTCCCGCGGCCTCTCCCCGAGTGGCAGCGCCCGCGCGGAGGCTGCACACCCCGGGCGGCGAGGCGAGGGCTGCGGGGTAAGGGCGCGCTGCGGTCTGAGCGGAACGTATCGGGGTTACAGGGGGGGGGGTGTGGGGGTTGTGTGTGGGGGGGGGGGTTGTGTGTGTGGGGGGTTGTGTGTGTGGGGGTTGTGTGTGTGGGGGTGGGTGTGTGTGGGGGGGGGTTGTGTGGGGGGGTTGTGGGGGGGGTTTGTGGGGTTGTGTGTGGGGGGGTTGTGTGTGGGGGGGGGTTGTGTGTGGGGGGGGTTGTGTGTGGGGGGGGGGTTGTGTGTGGGGTTGGTGTGGGGGTTGTGTGTGGGGGGGGTTGTGTGTGGGGGGGGGTTGTGTGTGGGGGGGGGTTGTGTGTGGGGGGGGTTGTGTGTGGGGGGGTTGTGTGTGGGGGGGGGTTGTGTGTGGGGGGGGGTTGTGTGTGGGGGGGGGGTTGTGTGTGGGGGGGGTTGTGTGTGGGGGGGTTGTGTGTGTGGGGGGGGTTGTGTGGGGGGGGGTTGTGTGGTGGGGGGGGTTGTGGGGGGGGGGTTGTGTGTGGGGGGGGGTTGTGTGGGGGGGGTTGTGTGTGTGGGGGGGGGTTGTGTGTGTGGGGGGGGGTTGTGTGGTGGGGGGGGTTGTGTGTGTGGGGGGGGGTTGTGTGTGGGGGGGGGGGTGTGGGGGGTGGGGGGGGGGGGGTGGTGGGGTGTGGGGGGGGGGTTGTGGGGGGGGTGTGGGGGGTTGTGTGTGTGGGGTCCCCTGTTGAGGGTGTTTGAGCTGTGTTGGAGTCACTGTGTGTGTGTGAGCAGAGGCTGGTGTGTGTCTGGCTCAGGCTCTCAGGCTCAGTCTGGCTGCTCCTCTGTGTGTGTGGGGGGGTGGGGGGTTGGTGTGGGGGGGGGGGGGGTTGTGTGGGGGGGGTTATGTGGTGGGGGGGGGAGTGTGGGCTGAGTCGGCTCCCAGTTTCCTGCTGTTCACTTCACACCAGAGAGACAAAGCCACAGATAGACAGACAGAGAGAGCGCTGTTGATGTGTTTTTGTGTCACAGGTAAGGTGACATTTCTTCTGTTGTATTTTCCCTAAGTAACACCCTCTCACACACACTCCCCCTCTCTCACACACTCACTCCCCCTCTCTCACACACTCCCCCTCTCTCACACACTCCCCCTCTCACACTCACTCCCCTCTCTCACACACTCCCTCTCTCACACACTCCCTCTCTCACACACACTCCCTCTCACACTCCCTCTCACACTCACACTCCCTCTCTCACACACTCCCTCTCTCACACACTCACCCTCTCTCACACACTCACCCTCTCACACACTCACCCTCACACTCACTCCCTCTCACACTCACTCCCCTCACACTCACTCCCCCTCACACTCACTCCCCTCACACTCACTCCCCCTCTCACACTCACTCACCCTCTCACACACACTCCCCCTCTCACACACACTCCCCCTCTCACACACACTCACCCTCTCACACTCACTCCCCCTCTCACACTCACTCCCCCCTCTCTCACACTCACTCCCCCTCTCACACTCACTCACCCGCTCACACTCACTCACACACTCACACACACTCACTAGTGTGTATATATGTGTGATAGCTGTGCTGGGAGCTCAGCTGTGCCCAAACTTCCTTGTACCACACACACGGAGACTGTGCTGTGCTGTGCCTCCTGTCCTGAGCTCTGGGCTGAGCTGCTGTGTGTGTTGCTGTCGCTGTGCTGTCGGTCGGACTTTCCCGGTGTTTGCAAAGCAGAAAGGTTTTTTTTCCCCTTCTTTTGGAGGCAGTTGTGGATTTGTGGGGTGGGGGCGCATTTGTGTGTGTGTGTGTGTGTGTTGTTGGGGGGGGGGGGGGGGAGAGCCTCTGGAAGGAAAGAGTGAGGTCCTGTTTTGTGGGGATGTTGGGGAGAGAGGGGATGGGGGGTGGATGCTGACTGCTTGTACGTAGGGTGGGGGGGTGGTGTGTGTGTGTGTGTGTTGGGGGGGTAGTGTGTGTGTTGGGGGCGGTGTGTGTGTTGGGGAGCGGTGTGTGTGTGTTGGGGGCGGTGTGTGTGTGTTCGGGGGGCGGTGTGTGTGTTGGGGTAGTGTGTGTGTGTGTTGGGGGCCGGTGCGTGTGTGGGGGGGGGGGCGGTGCGTGTGTGGGGGGCGGTGCGTGTGTGGGGGGGGGGCGTGCGTGTGTGGGGGGGGGGTGCGTGTTGGGAGGTGGTGTGCGTGTGTGTTGGGGTGGGGGTGGGCTATACTGTGTGTGTTGGGGGGGGTGATGGGGGAGGTGTGTGTGTTGGGGGGGTGATGGGAGGTGTGTGTGTTGGGGGGGATGATGGGGAGGTGTGTGTGTTGGGGGGGTGATGGGGTGGTGGGGTGTGTGGTGGGGGGGGATGATGGGGGTGGTGGGTGTGTGTGTTGGGGGGGATGATGGGGGTGGGGGTGTGTGTTGTGTTGGGGGGGGATGATGGGGCTGGTGTGTGTGTTGGGGGGGGTGATGGGGGTGGTGGGTGTGTGTGTGGGAGGGGATGATGGGGTGGTGGGGTGTGTGTGTTGGGGGGGGATGATGGGGGTGGTGGGGTGTGTGTGTGTGGGGGGGATGATGGGGTGGTGGGTGTGTGTTGTGGGGGGGATGATGGGGGTGTGGGGGTGTGTGTTGGGGGGATGAAGGGGGTGGTGGGGTGTGTGTGTTGGGGGGATGATGGGGTTGGGGTGTGTGTTGTGTTGGGGGTGATGGGGTGGTGTGTGTGTTGGGGGGGTGATGGGGTGGTGGGGTGTGTGTGTTGGGGGGGATGATGGGGGTGGTGTGTTGTGTTGGGGGTGTGATGGGGGTGTGGGTGTGTGTGTGTTGGGGGGGATGATGGGGGTGGTGTGTGTGTTGGAGAGAGTTGATGTGGGGGTTATGTGGTGTGTGTGTGTGTGTGGTGGGGGTGTTGATGTGGTGTGTGGCGGGGTTGGTGTGGGTGGGGGGCTGGTGGTATGGGTGTGTGTGTTGGGTGGTGGGGTGGGTGTGTGTGGGTGGTGGGGGTGTTGATGTGGTGTGTGGCGGGTGTTGTGTGGTGGGGGCTGGTGGTATGGGTGTGTGTGTTGGTGGTGGTGGTGTGTGTTGGTGGTGGGGTGTTGATGTGGTGTGTGCGGGGTTGGTGTGGTGGGGGCTGGTGGTATGTGTGTGTGTGTTGGGTGGTGGGGTGGGTGTGTGTGGGTGGTGGGGGTGTTGTGTCTCTATGTGCATGTTTTTGAATGAAGTAGAAAAGTCACAGGAATGGAGGAAGGAGAAGAGGAAGTTCTGAATCACGTCTGGGCTGGCTGTCTGGCTGTCTGGCTGTCTTTGGTTGTGTATTTTGTATTTGACAGTAAACCAGTGTTACAGTGGAGATGCCGTTGCCAGGGCTGGGCTGGGGGCAGGGGCTGCTTCTGGTTGACAGCAAGTTAAGTGGGGGGGGGGGCACTAGGCTGCCACTCTCACACTTACTACTAATACTTGGATCTGTTCTAAAGTGAGATCTTCCATAAAGGATAGTCTTAATCAAACATTGCAACTATCAAGTCTTATATATATCCCCCCACCCATCGATTCAAACTCAAATCAATGATGACATTTGCAATTGTTAAAAATCATAACTCGCCTTAGGCTACACTGACCCTGGGGCTGACTCGGAGATGGAATGACCTCTATCTGGTTTGCTCCGATTTCTCTAGTTCAAATTTAAATGTTGCAGTTTTGTAGAAATATTGTTCTAACAAAACATCAACCGTGATGAGGATATGGGTATCATCACATGGCCCTCTTTCTGGAGTTAGAGAAGTCTGCAGCAATTGCAATCTTGGCAGGAGCTGAGGGGTAATATGGTCTAATTTCCTTTTCATCGGAGCATGAAACTTACAAAGGTCGCATTGAAACTGACATCCAGGATCCTTGAACCTTCAGGGTCCAGGGAACATGCAGTTTGGGAGATCTTAACCCAAGGCACCTTTCACCAACCATCCAGTTAAACTGCAAGATATTTTATCACTTAATCCACGACTGGTTGTGGGACACTGCTGTGAGCAATCGGCTGCGGCGTTTCACCCACAAAATATAAAGTCAATTGACTTTACAGTATATTCTGTGAAACATTTTGAGATGTTTCAATAACATAAGGCGCTGTATCAAAGCAAGGATTATTTTTATTATAAGACGAGGTAGACCCGAGATTATTTTATTAGGAAGTTTGCAGTAATGATTCAAAGAATCCAAGGTGAAAGGTGAATCTACAGTCTGTGGCAGGCCTCTAAACAACAACAATTTGCATTTATATAGCGCCCCTCACACAGAGCGCTTGACAGTGACTGAGCAGGTGCACTAAAAGGTGCACTAAAAGGATAATTTAGTCTGTTGTTGTTTCATTAGAGTTTGTGTTTTTACTTTTGCTTTGTTCTATTCGAATTCATTAAGAAAGTATGTAGTGGTAAATTATAATGGAAACTGGGACTTTGATGGAAACTGCTCAAATCCAACTGCAAGAAGCTGTAGTTTGCAATGTTTGACTGTCAGTGATAAGACGGGTGTCCAGGTTAACCTGGCTGCATTATACCATTGATTTAAACATTTCTATCATGTGCCTTGTGAATTGCATCACTTGATGTTCAGAATGAGATATTGCAGGCATTGGTGAAGCTTCTGACTCTTTCACCACGATCAAGCTGCAGTGAATAGAGTGTGGAGATTAACTGTAGGTCATTGTTGCTGTCTTAAATCCAAAGTAGCCAATATTGGTTAAAAAAATATGTACTTCTAAATGCTTTTCAACTAGGGATGGGGAAACCTTTTTCTTTCTGTGGATACCTTGAGAAGATACAATTGTTCCAATCTTAGGCTAACTGACAGAATAGTGTACTGTTGGCATAGCCATTGTCAGGGCATGTATTTCACTGAAATTCATAATTTACACATTCCTACAATGTAGAGAAACCTATTTTTTATCATTTAGGTTTTATGCCACTCATGATTTATATAATCATAGTTAAGTATCAGAATCAGTAGATATCCAAATTCCACTTTGGAGAATTGTTTGGTATGAATTCTCATTAAGATTATTGTGAAAATGTTTCCTTAATCTTCCATTAATTTTCCCCCTGAAATATTGTAGTTTTCTCATTGTGTCTCCTCCCTCTCCCAATTCAGTATTGTTCAATGGAAAGATGTTTTCGCCACATTGTGGTTTAGGATGTGATTAATGGTGAAATGTGTGCTTACCTGCATTGTGCAAGTCTCAGCTGGCAGTGTGGGAGACTGAGCATGGTTATGGGTGCTGAACGTTAACAGGCAAACTAGGCCTGTATTGTATTATACACGCCAACCTGTAAGCTGAGTGTCATTATCCCAGTCTAAATTTCCAGTCTTCTGGTTACTCCAGTCAGCTCAGCTTAATTAAATTTGCAAAACTACTAGCTGCTTGCGTACCTACGGAAGTGTTTCTGGAGGAAGGATTGGTTTCAGGAACATAAGATGGGAAATCATTTGTTGTCTTTTAATAGTCCATCCAATAAATGATCCAATCTCATTTTTAGGTTGTGTTGCCACAGATGTGTCTGGACGTCAGCAGCACATAGAATGATCAGATACTGTATTTCATGACTTAGATTTCCTAATCCAGTGAGGAATCTAAAATCTGATCTAGCAGCTGAAACAAAAGGAGCTCAGCAAAAGCTGTAAGTTGGGGTTTTCATTTTGCTTGTGTGCTTTGGCTGCTGTCCGATGCTAAGAGTTAAACCTGTACTTTGCTCCCCTGATTTATTACTGAAGCATTTTTCAGTTACAGTTTTATTGCAGCAAATAAATATAAATAAGTACACTGTCATAACTTATGAATCTGAACAGTCACCTTTGTTTTTTTTATTATGTGGAAGTACCACATTAGCACTTAGAGATATCAATATGCCATTCACTAAGACACGTGTATGAATACCATGTGTCAGTTTGATTCGAACAGTGGCAATCTCGTCTCTGGCTTTGAAAATTGCCCTACATAAGAATTTGAGGCATAACATAGACTGACCTTCCACTACTGTACTGTGGGAGGTGCTGTGTTGTTAGGGGTGCTGTCCTTTGAATGGGATATTAAACAGAGATGCTGTCTGCATGCTCTTCAGGTAAATATTTAAGATCCCATGACATTATTCTAAAAGAGAAGGGAGTTTTTCCTTGTTTATTGGCTATCAATCCTCCAGGTTTAATCTTAGAACTGTTTGTTGTGTGCAAAATAACATTTGCTTACAATAACAAGCACTACACTTAGATAGTAATTGCTGTAAGACTGTTTGAGACATTTTAGTGTGATAAGGCACTGTGAAACACAAGTTCTTTCTTATTGTTATTATGGTTTTGTGTTTTCACAGGATTTTCAATTACAAAACATAGAGTAATGTTTTGACACATGTATCTCTTGACATTTTCGTTATCCTGCAGTTAGCTCCAGTGAGAATACAAATAAACAATAATGATTAATTTGTTTCAGTTCATTCAATGCAGCTATAAACCACATAGTGTACTGTTTGCTTGTTAAACATACATTGATGCCTGATTGGCATGCGTATAACAGAGGATATGAATTGAAGATTAATGCTGGAGGATAAAGGGGGAAGTTGGAAGATTTGATTTTACACAGAGGATTGTTATGTTGTGACAAGCCTTAGGTGTCAACCTGGCTGAGTTGGTAGCACTCTTGCCTAAGATGACAAAACTATATTCAGTTTACTTGCAATAACATACAATGCGATTTACATTTATTTAGCTCCA